ACACACACACACACAGACAAAACCAACGGAAGAATTCACTCACAACAGATCATCATCCAAGTTGATGGCGCCGGTGCACATGAGCGGTGAGCAGGCAACAACGATAGTGCCCACGCACTGCCCGCAACTGTGCAGCGGTAGGTCCTGCGGCGGCAACTCCACGTCCTGCGCTGCAGTCCACGCGCCCTTCGCTGGCCGCGCCGGTACTTGCCGGCGTGCGTGCTTCACCGTGGCGCGCATGATGTCCACAAGCGGCAGCGTCGCGGAGCCCACCAAACGTGCCACCCCACCGCTGCTGCAGTCAAACACGGAGAGAAGCATTTTCGCGTGGGCAAGAAGAACAGCGTGGTGTGGCAGCAGTGCGAGGTCGGCAAGTACCGCGGTGGGCGGAGATTCCCCAGCCATCCTCGAGCGTAGTGGCGACGTTGCTGCGGCTGCTGGCGGTGATGGTGGTGGCAGCGGCGGTGCTGGGTCAATCGTGTAGTCGCCAATGACGCACGCCAACGGGGGTGCCGGAGAAGTGTGTTGATGCAATCCATCATTCGGTGTGTTGATCGTGCGCCGCTCCTGCTGGTAGCGCAGCACAGCAGTCACCCCGTCAACACACGGTGCCTCCTGCGCAGTTATGAGCACTGGGTGACAGAGGAACGGCACGAACTGTATCGCAATGGCGAGGCGCCGCACCCCTCCCCCTGCCGCTGTTGTTGCCTCTGCTGGTGCCAGTATGGGTTCCGCTGTCTGCGGCAACTGCACCACCAAACGGCGCAGTCGCAGGCGCCATGTCTGCGAAGGCCCCGGCTGCGCCGCCTCTTCACGTCCCCAGAACGCACCACCAACAGACGGGCGAAGCGCATGCAGAGAAAAGACAGCAGCAACAGGTAGGTGATTCGAGAGCAGCAACTCCTCCGCCTGCGGTGCCGCGGCCTGTGCGCGCCTACGTATCTTCTTCAGCAGCTTGTGTTGGTAGCGTGTGGTGAGGTGGCGGTACGGCTCGCGCAGGCGAAGTATCTTCGCGCTGGGCGGCGGCAGCGGCACACTGGTGTACACCCGCGGCGTCACCCGCCCATTGAGCAGCGCATTACCCGAGCGACACGTGTACAGAATGCGTGAGGGGTACGCAAGAAAAACCCCGTTGGCGGCCTCCTCCTCGAACTTCGAGTTCGCCGCCGCCGCCGCCTTCGCCTGATCCGCGGTGTGGAGCATCTGCATGCTGTAGCGTGTGGTCCCTGGTACCACACTGGAGGTGGGTGGAAACAGCGGCAGCGCCTCCAGCACGCCGCAGCTGCGCGACAACAGCAACGAGGCGCTGCGCAGCACTGTCAGCACGTCGTGGTCCTGCAGCAGCGCATTCACTGCGGGAGCGAGGCCACGACCACTGCTGTTCTTCTTCCGCCGCCTGAAGTAGTGCGTGGCCCCCAGTGTCTTTACGTCTTCTTCTTCCTCGGCGACGGCACACCTAAAGCGGTCAATAAGATCAACAAGGAATGTGGACTGCCCACCGCTCTTACGCAACTCTTGCTCCTGCTTTCCCTTCTCTTCCACCGTCGCAGCCTCAGATGATACTGCCCCATCTTTCCCCTGTTGTAGCTGGTGGTGAAACGGAGAAAGCAGCAGGGGCATGCCCCAGTACCCCATCAAAAAGACGTTATCGTAGTACTCCAGACCATCCACCGTCGTGGCAAGGCGATACACTGCGGCGAACTCATCTGCTGCGGCATTATTCACAACACTCTCATCTTCTGGGTAAGGTCGCACCGGCTGCAAGAAATTGCCACGTACCCCCCCAGGGATATGGGCGAGCACGTCCTGAACGAGAGCACACTGTGTCGCCAACGCGAGCGGCTGCAGCGCTGTGTGCGATGCAAGCGTGGGGAGGTACAGCGCGACAAAACACATGGGCGTGTGGCCCACCTCCATAGCCACCAGGGCTGCACCGCGTTCGCCGCCGTGCAGTGCGGTGTAGGCAAGCGGAATCCGCTTCGTGCGTACCGCCCCGCACAGACACGCCACATGCCGCCGGGCAAACACAAAGAGCACCACCGCCGTGTCAAGTGTGGCAATGGCGACGGCTACGTACCCGTGCTGCTCAAACCACGCCTGCACGAACCCCGTGAAGTGCAACGACGTGCGGTGAAACGACACTTCCTGTGCCGTCAATGCAATGATGTCGTACGGCAGCGCCGTCGTTTCCACACTCCCTCCATGAGAGCTAATGTTGTGATCGGTCTTGGGCTTTCCACGTTTCGAAGTGTTCAAGCGCTTGCGCCGCTGCCGTTGAGCCTCCGCTGAGTGATGGGCCCCCAAAAAACGCACAACATCGTCCTCTGCGTCATTCACCTGTTCCGCACATTCTGCCAAGTCCTCCTCTGCACATGCACCGCTTGTCGTGGTCCAGTACGGGGACAGTAAGTCGAGCCACTTGCGCAGCGACGCAGGGTTACCCATTGGAGCACCATCGAGGTTGACGGTGCCGGCCCACACCGTTAGCGGCAGTGTTGCGTCGCCGCTGATCTGCAGCCCACAGACGCCCTCCAGCTTCACCCTGTACGTTTCCGCAAATGCCAGTCCACGCTCCTGCTGCTGGGTGCCGGAGAGGAGGGCTTCGAGCAGCGCACGATCGTCACGGTTCTTCGCATCGGGCCCGTCTTTTGTACCCGTGTCTTGCGAGGGTGCAAAAGGGGCGAGTCCTTGTACCTTCGTGGCTGTGTACCCACAGCTGTGGACGCGTGTCGCGTCAATCTTTACGTTCCACTTCTTCTCACGGTGTTGACGATGACGTTGTTGTGGTTGTTGTTGCTTCTGCCGTTCCTCGACCATTGCGCCGTCCTGCGCCAGTTGCCGTAGCACCGCCGACCAAAAACTGGCGACGCGCGTGAGCGGTGCACTTGGCGTCACCGCACGGAGCGTCACCTCCACCCCACACGTTGGCGGCGGCGGCGGTGGTGGTGGCGGTGGTGCGACACCCGCAACTGCCCCGGCGCCGAGCAGCTCCGCCACCAGCGGCTCCTCCTCGTCGTCGCGTGGCAGCAGCGCGGCGGTGAAAGCGGGTGCAAAGATGCGCATTGTCGGCCGAAGCGCGGTGACATTCTCTATGAAGCGCTCCCGTTCCAGCAGGTCAAGGAAGTAGTCGTCGTAGGAAATGTACTGCTCACGGTAGAATACAATGGTGATTCCATACTTTGGCCTCAAAAAGGCACCGCCCCCTGCCTCAGTACGCTCCCCCACCGCCTCACGATCATGATCATCCTCATTATCACCACTAGAGACATCTGACCTGCCCACATGCAGCAGCTCATAACCGTGATAAAGGGCAGAGCGGATGTAGCCGCAGCGACGCAAACATGGGTTCTCCTCGGCCGGCGCACTCGTCGCACATGCAATAGTGCCCTCGAAGTGGTCGATCAGCCACACGTGCGAGGCGTACCTCTGTGCATGGATGCGTTCCACATCAAGTAACTTCGTGTGGCGGAACGGCATTCTGCAGCTGATCGGGATGTCCTCCTCTTCAGAAGTAGTGCTCTCACCGCGCATTTCCTTTCCTGTCTGTGTGCTCGTCATGCGTGGTTTCCCTCGTTTCCTTTGTACAGAGGCCGCCTGTTCCTTGCGCTTGTTGCGGTGCGGCCGCGGCGCCGACGACGCGCACTCCACTCTCCGCGCAACGCCACTACCACCGCCATTGTCGCAGCAGCTGGTGCTGCTGTTGACTTTTCGGCGAACATGAGTGACAAACGCAACCCGGAGTTGCGTCGCAAACGGGATCGAGCTCAGCGGCAGCACCACGGACGGCACTACGAGGGCGCCAATATCGCTGCTCTGCAGGGGTGGGTGTCGACGCCCATCCGCCGCCGGAACGGCAAAGCTGTGGTGCGGCGAATGGGACGCACTTACCAGCCGCCCCATCACCTCTTCACTGTCGAAGAGACAGCGCAACGCTCGTCTCAGGCCCACATCAGCCTCATCATTTTTGCGACGGTTGTAGGAACGAAGAAAACTTCGCGGGTAGCCTTCTAACGATTCAAACGGAGCTATCAGCCTTTCCGACCCCGACGCGTCATCGCTGCTCTTGATACCAAGAGTAGCCAACATGGATGCTGTTGTCGCCTGTGTCACCCGAACGTATGCGTGGTGCAGAGCCATATCCGCCAGGGCGCCTAGGACACACCGCAACTCCCACGCCGTCAGCGGAAGAGGCCCCCCAACGCCGTGGTAGAAATCGTCACGCCAGGGCTCTGGTATTTGTGCAGCTTTTCCCTCGTGTCGTTGTTGCTGCTTCTGCTGCTGCCTCTCATTTGAGCGCGATACTTGCAAGTCTGTGTACACATCAATAGCAGCCTCTTCAATGCGTTCTTGACCAAAGTGCCGCTGCAAGCGAGCCGACAATACCGGAAGGGAGGCGAGAATCAGCCAATTTTTCCACTGTGCCCACACATCCCGTGTACGAAAGCCGAGCAGCAAGTGGTTCTCACGGGTGTCAAAGATATGATTCTTGTTGACACTACGTGGCACAGAAGGGATGATCTCAATAAAGTACTTTAGGTCGTTTATATCGTCTGTGTTGTCGTGGTCTGCACCATTCTTGTCGTTGGGGCTGTTTTCAATAAAAGAGACAGACCTCACGGTGGGCGGAGACAAACACATGCTTTCCCACTCCACTCTGCTCTGTTCTGCATCGTTCTTTCCACTCGTTGTAAAATTCGGCATGAACTTCCCTTCCATCGCGGCAGCGCTGTTCGGGATTCTTCTCTTGAAATCTTCAGCTGCCTGTAGTACCGCCGCTGTTGCTGCCAAACCTCCTTCATTCTCTTCCCTCGTTGCTCCGTCAACCGGTGCGGATTCAAAAAGCGCTACGGTCTTCTTCTCCTCAAGCAGGCGCTTTGCAATGCACACAATGGTCGCTCCCAGCAAGTAGCATCCTCCCTTCGCGGTATCGCTGAGACGAGGCCTATCTTCACCATCAAAGTAGTACAAAAAGTGACCGCGTATAACAACCGTTGTGGGTAGAAACGACATGGTCTCCTCGCTAGACAGCACGCCTGCCTTTACCCGCTTGAGTCGGTGCAGATGAGTGAAGGCACAGAGTGTGTTGATGGTCTGGAACGGCACAGCAGTACTCGCCACCCACCGCGCTTCTTCCTCTCTCACGCCTCCTGCACTGCTCTCCATCGCTGTTTCCACCTTTGCCACGATGTCACGGTCAATTGCCTCCCGGAAGGTGGGGCCGCTGCCACTCATGAGGCGCTCGCACTCCACCTGGTGCGAAGGTACCGTTGGACCGTTCGGCTTCCATAGCCGCGACTGCTCCACCTCCCTCAGGTGGTTCAGCATCTCCAGCAGCAGACGCCGCTTGTGGCACAGCGTGAGACGTTCAACAGGCACCTGTGCCTTGCGTTCCTCCGGGTAGGCGAGGAAGCGACGGTGTTCACCGTCTTCCGGCGGATCCTGCACCCATGGCACCACATACAATGACGGGGAATACGGCAGCAGCTTTGCCGTTGCATCATTATTGTTGTCATCGTTGCTGCTGTTTCCGTCGGCGCCGCCGGGGTTGCCGAGAAGCGCATCCACAATTGACGGCATCGACCTCGTGGGCTGCAACAAGCGCAAGTAACACCCGCTGTTTTGCAACATACGCCGAACTATTTTTGCGTTATTTGGGTAAATGAACTTTTCGTGGCTCTCACGCAGCAATTCCGCATTGTGCCGTTCCGCTGCTCCTTCCTCTTGTTGTGTCTCATTTACCAGCGCCGGTTTGGCACCCAACTGCGCACTCAGGTACTCGTCAAGCGAGTCGTGCTCGCTGCAGAGCTCCTCCAACAAGAGTTCAGGACTCGTGATGCCTAGCAGTGCATCTGGCGCCGTGGTGTCACCCACCAATTCCTCCTCACGCGTCCCCGCTGGAGAGGCGGTGGCGGTGATGCACGGGACGGAACTTCCAGCTGCTGACTTTACCAGCGCCGCGACCTCCTCCCACGCACGCATGTAGAGTGTCGTCATGAGTAGATCTCCATCCTCCTCATTGTCATCATCGACGGCACTATCCTTGTTGTTCTTGCTGCTGTTGTTCCTCTGGCGTGATGCGAGAAGTTGGCTTTGTGGCGATGCTTCTTCACCCCGTTCGAGGCCCAGCAATATCTGCCCCAACAGCTGATCCAGTTGCCAAGGCAGCGACCGCCAAGAACTGTTGCTATTGCTATTGCCGCCACCACTATCCACCGCCACCACCGTTGCAGGCATCCAACTTAGCGGAAACTGTGGGCGTGACCGGCTTGACACACCGTCCCGGCCACTCTCTCCAGTTCCTCGCCTCCAAAAAATCCGCCGCCGCACGACGGCGCAGTCCTCCAGGAGACCGTGATATTCCAGAAGTAAATTGTGCTCCATTGCGGCCCAGCGCAGCCAGAGTCGCTGTCTGTTTTCCTCGACCATAGCGGCCCCCACTTCATCGCCAAGGCCACTTGGCGGTGATTCATGAAGCCCAACGTGATGGTGCTGCTGCTGTTGCTCTTGTCCCACTCTCACGAATCGCTGTAGTTGCTGCTTGTGCCACTCAAACAACTCAAGGCGACACCTGCATTCCTGCAGCGCCACCCGATCTCGCGAAAGCAACTCCACCTCGCAGATTACCACTGACGGTGAAGACGATGATGAAACGAGCGGCCGCGCTTCCACCCGCGCCAAGTGAAGAAAGACGTAAGGGCCAACCACAATGCGTGAACCAAACGGCAATGACACCCAACGTGACGCAGGTCCTACTGTGAAAGTTGACTGCCGTGGCGCCGCTGCCGCCATCTGCCATGGAACAGAGACACCGTTGACATAGACTGGAGGAGCGGCATCTGCCGCAACGTGATCGCCACACCGCAGCGACGCGCTGAGAAACAGTCGACCATCTGCGACTTCGACGTCAACATCGAGTGCCCAGTCATCTGCCATCGCGTGCTCCGTTCCGCCCGACGCCATTGGCAGCGGCAAGAATACCACTCCCGGCCATGTCGCCGGCACTATTGGCGAGAAACGCAAATGAAGCGACACACACGAGGGAGAACCGTCACCGCGCTCGCTTTTGCATGCATCGTAAAAGAGCGGCAGTGGGATCGGCTGCGGTGCGCCACAACACAAGGACCGCAGTGTGGTTCCCTGCCTTTCCCACAGCTGCCCGCCGTGTTGTGTGCTTGTGACAGCAGGGGGAAGCAGCAGCAGAAAATGCACTGGAGGTCCTTGCAGCCTCGCCGCCGAGTCCCCTGTTGCCTCTACACGCTCCACCGCGTTTGACAGAGCGAAAGAAAGGCGCGGCCTCCTGCTGGGTTTTGTCCAGTCACGCACCAGCGCCTCCCGCGCGGTACGAGCGGCAGGCAACCATGACGAAACAAGGCACTGTTGCGATGCCCGACGCTCCTCCATCGAAGTGAGCTGCTTGATGGACGACGTGAGAACGGCAAGTCGCTGTTGCAGAACCTCTCCTGCATCGTCGCTGTTTTTGCTCGGAATAGAGTGATCCTTCTTCAGCGCTGATGTAGTCCCCAGCCCCTCCGTAATTGCGGCGGCTTCGCGACGCATGACTTCCACCGGACTAAGCGTGCATGGAACAAACTTCTCCACCGGGTGACAACACGACAACTTGCATGTCACTGCTGTTCGCAGTGCGTCAAGCGTGTCGAGTGCGTGCAGCGGTGAGGTGAGAATCGTTGCAATCAGAAACAGTTTCGCACACCCCTGCTGCACTGCTTCCAAGAGCAGCGAGAGGGCAGTGGGCGCGCACAATGAAGAGGACAGTTGTTGTTGTTGTTGGGAAACACAACAGAGTGCACTGCCGTCCGCAACTTTCTGTGTCCACTGCAGCTCAACAAAGATGCACTCCGCGTGGCAAGCCGTTGGTGCAGTTGCTGATGATGCTGGGAGCGGTGCGGGTCCTACAGCATCCACGTCAGCGGCAACGCTCGTTTGTGTTTCCACGGGAAGCGTGGTGCGCACAATCATCGCAACGTGCAGTGGAGCGTGCACAGAAAGGACGCCGAGTTTATCACGGAGGAGAGCGAGGTGCTCGATGCCACTTTGCTGGCGCAACACCATCTCGTTCTGCGTATACACGTCGAGCCACACGGCGCCCTCCACCAAAAGTGGGCCCCCTGACCCGTGCCCCCCCTCCGTGGCACTGTTGCCATTGCTAGGAGCATGATCCTTGTCGGCATCGTCGTCAGCGCCCTCGTTCAGGTAGTCGCTGCTGAGAGCCGCATCTGGGTGTTCTACTTCCGCCGCTGGGCGACTAATCCGGACAGTGCATCGCGGTGTGACGAAGGAATCGGGATTCCAAAGATCGTACACGCACACCGACGAGGCGTGGCCCTCCGGCGTGTTGCCACCGGGCGAGTCATCCTGAAACGCAAGGAACGCCACACGCACCACACCACAAGCACCCGCCTCCCTGTTGCGATGCGAACTGTCGGCAGCTGCGCCGCTCCTTTCACGCCGCTGTGTGCCATCGATCAGCTGTCGCACGACGTGTGAGACTAACCCTACGGTATTCGTGGGCGCGAGAAACGACTCTGTGGTGTTGCTCCTACACGCATCATTCTTATTGTTGCTGCTGTTGTTGGATTCTGCGGTACGATCGAGCGCGCCAAACAGCGTGTGTGTCTTCCCACTCCGCGGTGGCCCGTAGGCAACAACTGCGACGTGGTAACCATTGAGGAGGAGCGGCACAATCAGCCTGTTGCTGTCATCTGCGTCAAGCAGAGAATTCACGTCGGCCTCCATCGCTGCTGTAGCTTCATTATGCTTTCTGCGCTGCCGCGTAGGCAGTGAGTGGTGTTCGCCGGCTTGCGCATACTTCCGTGAACAAAGGAGGTCAATGAAGGAGAGTTGCTCCACATCGCGCTGCAGTGCCGCCGCCTCATCGTCCTTGTCGTCGCCCCTGGTAAATAACTGCAGCGCCCCTTCGGACCCCTGCTGCTGTGGTACGGTGTAGAACCTCATCTTGTGACATGTGGCGTTCCGCAACACCTGCACCGCCAGTTCCGAATCGACATCAGCCACAGCGGCAAAATCAAACAGAGTGGTGTAGAAACGTGCATCTTCTTCACCCTCCACGGCCGCCTTTCGCGGAGAGCCAGGGTTAGACGCACCAGCTGGCGGCTCCCAATGCTTGCGCAGCCGTGTGAAACACTTCACTGTCTGTGGCATAAACACGGAATCAAATACATGCGGAAACTGCCGCGTGTATGGGACACCGTTGGCTGTGAAACCTGTTACCTTCATCGCCACACCGCCCTTCTCCGTGTCTCGAGACGCCACAGTGCGGATGGCGACGGGATACATCACCTTCAGGTCGCTGGTACTGGTGCTGCTTGCTATCTCTTCTGTATGCGGCCGAAATGTGAAGATGCGGCATTCTTCCCCTGTGAGCGGGCGGCACCGCACCACCACGTGTGGGACGAGCAGCTTACCGCGCAGTGGCGCGCCTCGACTGCTGCCGATTGACGGCGTCGGCGCATCTTCCTCCCGGCGCCTCGTATGGTGCACCTGCGGCCGTGCGGTCGTGGCGGCACCCCGCATACGCTGCACAACACGCACAAAGAGCACAGGGGCAAGGTGAATGCAGAGAAACGGTAATTAAACCGCGGCGAGATACTACACAGACCCCTTTTCTGTGAATATTGGCCTCTCTCTCTCCCACCCCTCTGTTTCTCTCTGAGTGTGTTTGTTTGTGTGTGTGTGTGTTACGAGCTCGAAATATAAAACGATAAGCGATATGTGTGCGTACTTGTGTGTCAGGGAGAGAAGGACACGCACACGCACTGCTGTTTCTCTCCCTCGCGTCCAGGCGCAATTGTAACTACTGTGTACTATGTATGGGAACTATACCCAACGCCACTCCTGCAGCTAGCGGAAGGGCACGCACGCCAACACAATTTGGGCCAAAGCACGAGGAAAGAAAGACAGACACGTACACAAGACACACTTCGTGCACCCACCCCAACAAGGCAGAGACACCACAGACTTCTGCAGAGCAGCGCACCGACAGACGATACGCATGACACGGTGCGTCGTGTGTTTTCCCAAACAGTTCCTCCTCTGCCCCCTCCCCTCCCTCTCCCTCTCTCTCTTTCTCTCTCACTCCATGACGCGATGTGCCCACGACAAGCATGGAACCCAATAACAACAGCAACAACAACGAGTAGCAGCAAGATGGTAATGCACGGCATTGCATTCCCTTTGGCTTCTATGCACACACACACACACACANACATATACATATATATATATATATATACCCCCGCACATGTGTGTGTGTGTGTGTTTGTGTGTGCGTACCACTGCCGCCCCATTCACACAGGCAGGTAAAAACGTGCTTGCCTGTAAGGACGTGGACTCCCTCTCTAACACCAATCACCGCCACCGCCACAACCCTTCCCCGCGACAACAAGGGCAAATAAAAGTGAGCAATACGAACGCCTGCGCGCTCACACCCACCACAAACCTCCCGACGTGTCGCGCGGCTAAGGGCAACGGGTGCGGGCAGACACCCAACGAAGGCAAATGCTCGACAGGGACGGAGAAAGCACATGAAGGGAAGCAGCATCAAGAACAAAAAAGTCCCAACAGAGAGAGCGAGACAATGTGAGGGAGAGAGAGAGAGAGAGGACCCAAAGGAACAAAGTAGTCAAAAGGGAATTCCCCAGACGGAAAGGTAACGAAAAAGAACGTAACTCTATGCAATAGTTCGTACAGGTCCCCGCCTCCGCATTCTTTCACTGTTTTTATGCGCAGAGGAGTGCGCGTGCATGAGCGGGCGG